TCTATTTGCGTAACTCTTACCCGCAGCTGTACTGTATGACAGAACGCAGCCCCCGGTGCTGGGCAGGCAGCTACACTGCAGACCAGGCCACCACTAGGCCGCACATTCCTGGGTCACAAACCCAAATGTGGGTCGCAAGTCCAAGCCCTGGATGTAAGCGGGAACAGCACGCCTGGGCTGTGACTCCAACAGTTGCTACCCAGGTGCCTCACGAAGCAAGGAAATCTGCACATTGTAGCCAGAGAGTACATTTCAATTCTTTTAAATTTTTTAGGACTTTGTACCTTACGGTACCTTATGGCCCATCTTGGTAAATATTCTGCAGATCTTGCCACGTCACGTCTGCTCCACCGCGGGGCGGATTCTGTGAACCTAAGTCAGACCCAGGCACGGGCGTGGCACTCTCTGCGTGCTGGGTCCACCAGCTGCTGAGCAGGGCGGAAAGAAGTCTCCACCCGACTAGGGTTTGTGTGTTCTTTTAGTTTTCAGTTTTCTTTCCCACAACTTGCCGCTCTCTTGTTGGGTACATATTTCAGATTCACTTGCAAAATACATATACTTGCCACACCTTTTTGGCGAGTGGATCTTTTATCACTGTGTAAGCCCCTCTCGGGCCCTGGAGATTTTTGTGTTTGTTCCCAAATCCTCTTTATCTGACACTGATACAGCTCTCTGGTCTTTCTTTTCCCTGATGTTTGCATGGAAAGTGTCATTCCCCCGCCCCCTCCACGCATTGTTACATTTGAAGAAAATTTCTTCTAGACAGCATATAATTGCGAATTTGTCTTTAAACCCACTGTGTTAATCTTTCACTTTTGCATATTTTAGACTACTTAAAATTAATGTAATTATTAATGTTTGAGCTAAACCCTGCCCCTTTTCTCTTGTTCTGTACGTTCTCTTTTATTTTCATCTGTAATCCTCACTGGGAGTACCAGGAACATTTTTAAGTTGTATTTTTATTGGCTTACAGTGATTCTGAATAGACCCCTTTGCACAGCCTTTACCATGCTTGCTTTCCAAAGCACACAAAGCCCGCATAACTTAACAGAGACCACTGGCGTTGGTGCCTGACAGTCCATGCACAACCCTCACGACTGCTTATCATCTTTCACCCTCCTGCATTTATAAAATAACGCTGCCAATTTTTTCTTCTTCATATACTGAGCAACGTCCCCGGCAGGGCTATAATTTTTTGCTTCAACCACAAAACATAATTTAGAAAACTTAAGAGGAGGAGGAAAGTTTATGGGCTTTCTGTGATTTCTACTCTTTGTATTTTTCCTTCTTAACACTTCACGATTCCTTCATGCATCATTTCCTGTTAGTTTAAGGAACTTCCTGCCCAGGGTGAGTTCACTGAGAAGGCCCGGCTCCCCTCCCGATCCTGCAGGACAGGCTCTGGGCGCGGGCGTCCCCAGGGGCCTGGATGTCTCCCAGGTGTGCGCACCTGCGCAGCCAGATCCCGCAGTGCCGGGAGAAGCTGCCACTGTGCCCGCCGCTGTGCCCGCTGCTCAGGAAGCCGCTGCCCGTCTCGCTGCCCTTTCTCTCTGGCTGCTTCCCAGAGCCCTTCTTTGACTCCCCGTTTCAGGAGATTCACCGTGGTGTGTCTTAGGGTGGATTTACTTGGGTTCTTTCTAAAGTTCCAAACAACTTCTTGACTCTTCAGGTCAGCATCTTTTCCCAGATTTGGAAGTTTTCTGGCCATCATTTCTCTGAATACCTTTCTGACTCTATCCTCTTTCTCCTCTCCTTCAGGGTGCTGACAACACTCGCGTTAGATAATTCTTACCCTCCTGTAGGTCCCCAAGGCCCTGTCTCTTTTCATTTTCAATCTATTTTTTAGACTGGACCATTTCTATTGTTCTGTTTACAAATGCATGACACTTGCCTCTGTTTCTTTGATCCGACTGTTTTCCTTTGATTTCCTTCACTATATTTTCCTTCAAACCGAAAATGACAAGAAAAATACCAAAGCAAAAACATCAAGCCAACACAGCTTTTCAGAGGTGCAAAAGGAAACGCGTCTTTTCTGCCCCCTAAGAGCTGAGCGCCGGGGAGCAGAGCCTCATAACCGCAGGTGGGCAGAACTGGCGCCCGCAGAGGCCTGCATCTCAGCACAGGTGTCCGGGAGCTCATGGCTGCAGCTGTGGCACCGGGTCCGGGGTCGGGACAGGAAGTGGAGGAAGGAAACAGCAGGGTGAAGCCCTGAGCCACGGCAGAAGCTTCCTCCTTGGCCCTTCAGCACCAGCCCAGCAGCTCTCTCAAATGCCTGGCTGTTTGCAGGGACTGCTGTATTTTCTTTCTTCTGGCATCTCCAATCCCGTGCGTCCTGCTGGTCTTCCTGCCCTTGACCCATTTCTGCCTGCACAGTGACATTCCGGGCTTATGTGGACTCCCTGATCCAGCTCCCAGACCAGGGTCCTGGACCCAGGAGACCCCTCCCAGACACCCTAAGGGCTCACTGTCACCCGGCCGGTCACCCTCCGGTCCAGCAAAACGCAGCACTGTCTTCTCTTTGTGGCAGGGGTCAGGGCACTGATTTTCTCGACCACAGCCTCAGCTCTCTGGGACATTTCTACAAGGTCACCAGCTGCTTCCTCTGTGTGCCCCTTCCATCCTAAGCCCAGCACAGAGAGGCAGGAAGAGAAATGGGCGGGAGGACAAACGGACTCCACAGTGCTGTTAGTGATAAATACTAACAGCGAAGACTAAAAATAACTAGGCAGCAGGAGTCTACTTTTAGGAATTTCATTTGTCCGTTTGTGCTGTGGAGCGGGGGCTGGAAACGTCAGTGTTCTCTGGGGGTGGCAGGGCTGGCACCAGAGCGCCAGGCAGACAGCGCTGCCCCACCCCTCCCGAAATAACTCTCCCTCCCTCGGCCCAAGCTGCAAATATTCCCGCCCTGCTGCCAAGGGACCCTGCTCCCACTGGGAGCCAGAAACAGCGGCTGGGCGACTGCGGCCTGTGCCTCTCCACGCCACCTACTCCCCTGTGGCACCTCTGAGTCCTCTTCCAGCCAGCAAAAGGCCACTGGAGCCTGCGTGTGCCACCTGCAGTCCCAGGGACCTGGGTGTGTGGACTGTGACATGGGAAAGCCGTGCATCCCACATTTCTCTGGACCAGGGTCCTCCAAGATGCCTACAGCTACCACCCCTGGTCACCCTTCTGGGACTGGACCCTTTGATGTCCAGAGCCCCCTCGAGGAACACAGCCAGCAGTTCAGCCCGTCTCTCTGCCCCTGGCCCTTCCCAGGCAGCGGCTCGCATACCACCAGTCCCCCCCACGGAGCTCGGAAGCCACCAGGCGCAAGACCAACACAAACAGTCCCCTGGGTGACTCTCAGCACTGTGCAGCACTTGTCACACCCACCCTAACACGGTATCTGGGCCAGCCTGGTCCCAACACACCCCAGCAGCACAGCCTGCCCCTTTCCTGCTCCGAAGCTGTGGCCCCCCTGGCTTCCCTTGGGGCCGTAGAGCAGGAGCCTCCTTCCTGCAGAGGTGGGGGCCTCCAGTGCTGAGCACACCCTGCACCCCACCCCCGTGCGTGTTCCACCACCAAGTGCTGCTCACGCTCAGGCTCCTTCCCCAAGCTGGAAAGCGGCTGGGCCACTTGATGATAACCCAGCGCTTTCCTCCTCACCAGGGGAACGGTCCACACTGCAGCGGGCTCCTTGCTTCTCTCCTCTCCTTTGCTCTCCTGTCCTCCCCTCTCTCCTCTCCTCTCCTCCCCTCCCCTCTCCTCTCCTCCCCTTCCCTCTCCTCTCCTAAGCATTCTCTCTCTCCTTCTCTCTTTCTGTGTCTGGTACTAGGGATTGTAGTCACACTGATCCACATCCCCAGGCTTTTCCTTTACTTTTTTTTTGAGATGAGGTCTCATAAGTCCCAAAGCTGCCCAGGCTGGGTGCCAACTTGTAGTCCTCCTGCCTCAGCCTCACACAGTGCTGGGAGTACAGGTGTGAGCTATCACGCCCGACCCTCCACCCGCTTTTTGCTAGCTACCTCCTGACTCCCAAATTGCCAGTGCAGAGGCCGTGATTCTCCTTCTCACCTCTGCGAAGCCCTGCGTGCCCTTCATTCCGTGCCGGGGCAGCACTGGCCCTCCCGGCCACGCTCTGTTCCTCCCCGCTCTTCTCCTGCTCCCTGAGCTGACCACACCGAAAACACGGGCAGTCACCACGGCCCAGGGCACCAGATTTAGCAATGGCTAAACTTGATTTCAAATCAATCATAAATTTTTAGTATAAGCGCATCTAAAATTTTGCATGGGGCATTGTTATAGTGAAAAATTACCCTCTGTTGACCTAAATTCAGTTCCCCACATCTCCCCTGACAGCTCTCCATCGCGGCTTGTTGGCGCTCCCTCTCCTCTTCCCTTGCTGATGGTTCTCATGGTGATCTCCTCTCAGGCAGTTCCTAAGTGTCCGTCTAGCACAACTCTCTCCTCTTTCCTGCCCCACTTCCTTTCCTCCTCCTCCTCCCTTTCCTTCCCTTTTTCCTTCTCCCTCTCCTTCCTTTTCTTCTTCCTCTTTTTCCTCTCTCTCTTTCCGTCTCCATCTGTAAAATTAGTTTTCCTCTCCATCTTTACACCATTTCCAATTCCCTACATACAAAGCTGATATTATTTTTAACTCCTCCAAAACTCTCCTCCTCCACTGCGGATGCCCCAAACACTCTCTCCAGCCTCCCGCAAATGCAACCCCGAGGGCAGCAGCCCCCCCTTCCTAGGCCTGAATGTCGGCTGGCTTTACCCCGGCAGCACTCAGGCCTGGCTTTTTCTCCATTTTCATGGATTCCACCAACTCCTGGGGCTCCCGTCTCCCTCCCGCCCTCTGCAGCCCTCGATGCTGGCAAAGGGGCCGCCACCTGCTGGGCCAGTGGTGGGTGTCCCAGCCCCAGACCAGCACTCAGAGCCCCTCGGGCTTCATCTCCTCCCCTCTGTACACCCCAGCCCCAGAAGGATCTCGGTGTGGTCCTGCCACCCTCTCCGTCACTCACGTCAGGCCCGGAGGACACCACCTTGACACCACACATCCGGCTCCTGCACAAACACATGTCACTCACTGTGGCCTGCTATGTGAGTGAAGTCAGTCAGTTAAAAATTAACAGGATGAAGTCATTAGGTTCCTGAATCATTTGCGGAAAATGCAAATCAATGCACTTTCTCACAAATCTATAGTTTGCCAAGACCCTGGTGCTGATGTGGAGCCCACAGAAGTGTCTCCTGTCTCTGCGATGTCAGGACAGGGCCACCTGATGGCCACCAAGGGGCTCAGGCAGACACGGACCCCTCCGCCCACCCACTGCCGCCTCTCTGCTTACTTCTAAACTCTGATCCCGTCTCATCTCTTCCAGGTAGGCATCAGAAGTCTCTGTGAAAGTGCTTGCAAGCCTTGTTACGTAACTCCCCAAATAACCGGGTCCTAAATTACTGCTAAGCCCGAGCTCCGATCCAAGAACATCCGAGTGCTTCATGCCCAGGTCAGAGGCCCGCGCGTCACCGCTGGACAGCACACACGTGCAGCTCCGCAGACCGTATGGAACCCTTCACAGTGAAGCAACACCACACTTGGGCACCGAAACAGCCATGGATGACACAAAAAGAAACGAGCTGGCCTGTGCACAGCGAGGCTTGACCTAAAACAGGTGCTCGGACACTGACTTGCCACGCTAGCCCTGCCCTGACGGCAAGCCCAGGGAAGAGGTCACGGTTCCCTCCAGACCACATCTTTCATTGTAGTCACCTCACTGGAAGGAACGCAGAAGTTTCCACTGGCACAGTTCTTTGTTTTCACAAAATTACACTAAGCCAAACGCAGGACCCCAGAGCAGGTCAGAGCAGAGTCAGGCACCCTGAGCACCTGCCAGCCCCCAGAGACTTTCCAGCTGGTCCTGGATGGACAGGAGAGAGGCGGCCAGATGGGAGAGAGGCCTGCAGCCTTAGGCACAAAGCTTATGGGGGCACAAAGACAAAGAAGCAACAGGTCATCTTTAAAAACAAATATTATTAAAAATCACAATGATAGAAAATGCCCTTAATGAACAAAGCATCAAAGTCTCAAACAGGATCACAACTGCTGAGATGCAGCTTTCTGCAGACTCCAATTTGGAGCTGCGTAGCATCAAAACTAACCCCACTGTGACTTACAGTGCTGATATTTTGCTTTTGATTTATTATTTTTAAAATAGCACACTACGGTCACTTGTCTTTGTCATGCTTGGACTCTTGACCACCCTCTGATTTCACACAGACGGGACACTGCCCACCTCCACCGTGTCCCTACTCCTAAGCCTGAGATGCTTTCCATGTATCAGCACTTACCCCTGCTTATGGTGTCCAGGAGTTAGTGTCCCCTTCTGACCACATCAGCCTCCTGGGCTGTGCAACACCGGCCTCGGTGACCTGAGTGTACCTCAGGCATGGGGCGCTTTGGAGCACACGGAGTCGCTCCTGCCAGACTCCAGAGTCACATGTTAAGAGAGAGAGAAGGAAACCAATTTTCACTACACACCTGCTAAGTGCCAAGTAGCGAGGTGCTCAGGGGCTTTATTTCCGCTGTCACCTATCTGTCCCCACTCATGACCGTTCACCGTGCTACAGGGCACCGTGCTGTTAGGCTACCGCCTTCTGCAGGTGAGGTGTGCCACACAAATTCCCAACTTGTGGTATTTTCATCCTGAGTGGATCAGAACGCAGCCCCGTCGGAAGCCAAGGGGCATCTTGAGCTCTTACTGCAGCTCTTCTGAGTGAAGGGTCAGGAGGTCCTGACCAAGCATGGAACGGAAAATATAAAAGCCAGGCTGAAGCATCGCATCCCACCAAACAGTCAGGCACTTCGGGCGTGGCTGCGGCACACTTCACCTCCTGCCCTCCCGCTTGTACAGCGCCTCCCCACTTACCACAAGCCTTCGACTGCTTGTCCGATTGGAGGGTCACTGCAGCCCTGGCAGGGGAAGGCTGTAGGGTTGAAGCTGGTTGGCTTGGACTCCTCAAGTCTACCACGCAGGCGAGGACACACAGGGACATTCAGGGAGGTTATGGGACTCACACAAAGTCACCAGGGAATCGGTGCCTGAATGAGAATTAAAAGCCAGGGTCTCCTGTGGCCCAGAGTGGTGCTTTTTTGGTACATCCCTTCTGCCCTGGAGGAGTGAGCCCAGCAAGGTGACCCCGCCCCGATCCAGCCGGGAGCATGCAGCACTGGATCCAATCGGGTCAGGCTGTCCCTAACACAGCAGCAGCTGAGACTCGACATTTTGTGGGGATGGCATCAGTGCACAGGCCAGGAAGCTGACACCAAGCACCAGCTGCCCCATGAGGAAGGGCTGAGCTAGGTAAACCGAGGCAGCAGAAGCAGAGGACTCCTGGGGAGGGGGGAGGGGCCTATCCTGGCAGGACAGAACAGGAAGAAGTCCAAACCTGACGCTGCCCACTTTGCCCAAGCCCACTGGGTGCCAGGGGTCACTGCCATCATAGTTACATCAACAGTCAAAGCATTTGGTGGAGTCTGTGCTCCAGGATGCCAAGTCTCTCCCGCCCGCTTCCAGCTCCCATTTGCTCCAGGGACGGAGCACAGCATCATCCTCACAGAGGACCAGGACGGCTCAGAGGGTGAGAAACGTCAAATCCAGGTGAGCGCAGATGCAAGAGCAGAGGCCGAGAAAAGCCGGCAGCCTCCAGGAGAGGCCGCCTGGAAGGGCGGCTCAGCACTGAGGTGCACGCCCAGTGCTTTCAAGGGAAACCCCGCGATGGTCAGGCCTCACCGCTGGCCATGAGTTCACCAGCGCCTCTTCCCTGGGGAGAAGCGGTGCGGGGCTGGGGTTCCACGGGGCAGCGCTGCACCCCCTCCTTCAAAACAGAGCAGCCGGCAATTCTATCCACACAATAATAGGAAGCACCCCGGACAAGCATGAGAGGCCAGTCCTGTCAACAGCAGGATGGCTTTTAGAAGCACTGCTTTTCACAAGGACGGGCAGGAAAAAATTCAGCCCCAACTCCGGACTGGATTGGAGAAGCGTTCAGCCGCACGCCGGGTGGCTGCAGGTGCTCGCAAGGGTCCCGTAACTGCAGCCTGCCAGCTCACCCCTCTCGGAGAAGGCTGGGCTAGCCGTCTGCTCCTCCCGTTCTACACACTCAGGGTTTGGGCTGTGGTTCCTTTCTGCCTTCACGCATCAAGTCTCCTAACCACACCAGTCTCCTTCCGGTGACCGACACGCTGTTGTCTGGAGAGCCGCGAGCCGCATTTCCACACTCCCTTTGTCTGCATCATGCCCTTGTACGCAGTAAGCCAAGGTCCACACACGCGAGCTGGGCCCTGGCTAATGCTTCACAGGGTCACTTGTGCTGCAAGAAACATTTAGTGCAGCAAAACTCCAGCATCTCCTGTCCTTTTAATCAATCGTGTACTAAAGTAAGTACTGAGCACAGAGCAGACCAGACTAAACTGGAGTCACTCATGCTAAGTGACACATAACAAGGCTGAACTGTGAAATCAGCCACAGGAGGCAGGCAGAGAGGGAGGCCAATACGAAGGGGCCCGTTTACCTGTGCAGTAGAAGGACATTCTCTTTGTGTCGCCCTGTAAGAACAGTAGCTTTAAAATGACCACGCTTTTGTTCCCTGTCTCTATTTTCTCTCATCTTTTTTTCTTCTTGTGCCTCCTCAGCTCAGCCCCCTGGAAACCTATTTGTTTTTATAGGACGAGATGTTATCTGATTCTACAATCATAAATCAAGCCATTTAGACTGCGATGGACTAACTAATGGGCAACTTGGAACTCCCAGCTGAACCGAATCGGTGCGGTGCGGGGCGTGGAGGGCCCACCAGAGCACTGTTGGCGGCAACATAAAAAGAACTGCAGGGGAAGCTGGAGCTGCTGATTCTCCTGGAGAAGCGTGTCACGCTGGTTTTCCTGACGTGAACGTGGCTGTTCTCACTGTCAGAGGAGCTCACGTCCTCGCTGTCACTGAGGATGGCTGAGGTTCTCTTCAGGGGAGCCCTGGTCCTTACCTTGAGCATCAGTCACTTCCTGGCTCCTGTGCAGATCCCTGAGCCTGCTGGCACAGCTCCTTCACCCGCTGCTGCAGACTTTCTGGCTTCCACTGCTGACCTTTGGGCCTTCCCAGTGCAAATCCCTGATACAGAGTGCATGAGACACTGTTGTGGGCTCTAGGCTTCCAGCAGGACTGGTGCAGGACGTTGCCACGGGCTCTAGGTCTTCAGCTGGACTGGCAGACGTTGCCCTGGGATCCAGGCCCTCAGCTGGATTCTTTGCATCTCTAGTGCATCAGATCTTTCACACTCTTCTGCATTTGACATTGTGGGTGAATATTATAAAGTATTCCCATAAGTTATTGTGTCCTGTATTAACCCTGACTACAGCCTAGACTTTGGTGTAACTTAGACTTTGGTGTAATTTGGTCTTTGATCAGTCTCGTCAGCTGCTCATGCTAGTTCTTAGAAAATGGACTTCACACGAGGGCCAGTTCCAAGGTTAATATAAGATAAAAGTCCATTACATGGAGGAAACAGCAGCCCCAGGAAGGGTGGTGACATTGCTGACCTCATAGACGTTGGTGACGTCCACAGAGAGGACAGCAGTGACGGCTCCTCCACGGACAGTGCAGCCCAGCACAAGGGCGGCATTTGCTTTCCCAGGGAGCGAGTCCGTTTCCCTGGCCTTGCTCTCTTGTATCTTAAGGAGTGCCCTGCCCCCTCCTTTGATTAACCCTCTCCCTTCCCTCGCCAAGGTGAGCAGGGGGCTCAGGTCCTGGAGCTCCCAGCCTCAGTTACACCCCTCCCCACCCCAGCTCTGCAGCCTGTTCACTGTTGGCCCCACTCCACCTACTTGCCTGTCCTCCTGGCTTCCTGCCTCTGTCCCACACATGTGTCTTACCCTCCCTTGAAGCCTGCTTCCAAGAACGGGCCAGGGATGAGGGAGGCGCCTGGGGCCCAGCACGCAGCTCGTGGCCAGCTCCCTGGCTCCCCTCGAGGCGAAGGAATGCTCTTCTGGGAAGTCCTCCTCCAGCCTCCTCCAGCCTCCTCCAGCCTGCTCAACAGCC